TCAAAAAAAAACCCTCCCCTCCTTTTTTCCCGTTTTTTTCCCCCCCCCCCCCCCCCCCTCTCTCTCTTCTGTATCAAGAATGTTATTGGGAATTCTTCTGTCTTGAATTCAGACAAACTGAGATCACATGCAAACAGTGCTGTTGTGCTTAAATGAGTGTAGGTGAATAATTCACCCCAAAGTGAAAATTCCATCGTTTTCATTTGACATTCACTAGTCAATGTCTAGTTTAGTTGTATAGAAAAGAACAGCTTGAGTGGCATAAGGGTGAAGAAATGATGCTAGAATTTTCTTTTAGGCTTTTGCACATGTGAAATAAAAAGGTGCATGTGTGTTGTCTGCATATGTGCATTTAAAGACAGCATGACGTATTCATAACCCCTACTGCAGAGTCGATGTACATTAGAGCAATATTTTTCTCTGTCTTATCCTACTGAGTGCTCTTTACAATATTGATCCATGTGTAAGAGAGACAGTCTGACTCCAGCCTGTAGTTAAAATGTTGATCGTCAGTTTCTCAAATGCCCTGTTTTCTGCTCCTTCAGACCTCCTCCACCCCACCAAAAGCTCCCTCCTGTAATCTCTCTCTCCTTTTGTGCTCTTCTCCATTCTTTCAATCACGTGTTGTATCTTTCATTCAGTATAACGATGAGACTGAAGAAAATCAGAGTTAATTTCCACAGCTGTAATAGTGTAATAGCATTGCGGTTTTTATAACCACGAAAAGTAACTCTTGCTTTACTGCAAAAACAGCAGCAATCTCAGGTAGTCCTCTAAAAAGGTATGACCAAATATGGTACAATATCGTATTATAAATATCGTATTATAAAAAAAATTATCTATCTATCTACTGTATCTATCTATGTTTTGGTGGTTGGAGAAAAAAGTTATCTATCCATCATTAACTTCTGATGTTTGAAAACATGTATTGTATTGCAGTTCCTATACCTAATACCCTCAGAAGTAACTTTTTTATATATAAATAATTTACTCTCCAAAGCCATTTTTACCTGCATTTATTGTTTGATGGCTGTTAATTTTGGACCCTGCGCATGCACATGCAACCTTGGACCCTGCGCATGCACATGCACCCAGAGGCGGCATTCAAACACTCAATCAGTACCATAGATCTGTGTTCATCATGATTCATTTCCAACCAGTTTTTTTCCTCACTGCCTCTCTCTAACCCTTTTAATAGATTCATTTCAAGTCTCAATGTGTTCTGTCTTATAACCACCAAAACATCCTGTTCTTTTATTTTGCCCCCTGGTGTCCTCTCGTCCTCACATTCAAACACTGCAAACATACCGTAAAATGGGTGTACAAAGGGAGGACGAGTAGGTCTGCAAGCACACTGTGAGATGGAGGGAGAGAAAGAAACACATGGAGATTAGAAGGGAGGAAACAGGGGCCGATATTGAGGAAAAGTAGGAGAGGGCGTGAAAGGGAACGATCTAAAAAAACAAAAAAAACAAAGGAACATGCATACTCAGATAGAGAGGCCCACAGGAGCTTGCTGCTCACCTCTGATCCTCTCATGCTGAACGGAGACAATGGTGTGATTAGAAACAAACTTGTGTTTACTGCTCAGTGCGTTCGCATGTGTGTGGGTGAACCCACAAACACGCACACATTCTGCCATTATGTCCCTCTGATGGTGGCGAGCCTCTATCTCTTGTGTGAACTTAATTAGCTCTGAATCCATTAGACACAGCCACATAGACAATTCCTTCCTCTATTCTCCTGTCACCCGCATCCAATTAAACTGGTGCTAAAACACAATGGCATATTTCTCACTTGAGACAACTCGGCCCGATAGGCTGGCTACCAAATGTCATCATAGCTAGCGCTTGTAAATTTTGTGTTCACTAGAGCGAATTCCAAAAACTTGTGATTTTGAACATATAAATGTGAAATGTATCCTTTTTTGTGAGTTAATTTGGTTTTGTATACTAATTTGATTGACAGACCATGACTGACAGTACAAAAGACTCCATTAGTATGTATTATGTTGGCTTGACAAAGTTTTATATAGACCTCATGGACAGAGCAGAATGATAGATGGACCGATAGGTAGAACGACAGATAGATAGAATGATATATAGAAAGAAAGAAAGAAAACAGACAGACGATAGATAGATAGGTAGATAGATAGATAGATAGATAGATAGATAGATAGATAGATAGATAGATAGATAGATAGATAGATAGATAGATAGATAGATAGATAGATAGATAGATAGATAGATAGTTTAACTGATCTATCTATCTGTCTCTCTGTTGTTTTGTCATTCTACTGTATCATTATATCCATCATATCTATCATTCGTTTTATCTATTGTTCGACCTGTTTTTCGTTCTATCTATCGTTTGGTCTGTCTATGTTCTATCTATCATTCATTGTATCTAACGATCGTTCATTTGTTCTATTGTTTGTTCTATCATTCTGCTGTTCTGTCTTTAGTTCTATCTCTCGTTTTTTCTATTACTCTATTTATCAGTCTGCTTAACTTTTTTCCAACCACCAAAATAATATGAGCAACAAAATCAAAATGTCTTCAATTAATTGAATTTAAAATGTTATTGAATTTTATTATTCCTTGGTCTTAAAGGGATAGTTCACCCAGAAATATTCACCCAAAAATATTCTGTCATCATTGGTAACCAAACATTTGACGGTAGCCATTGACTTCCATAGTATTTTTTTCCACTATGGAGTAAATTCTGTAGTTCTGTAATTTTCATTTTTGTGTGAACTATCACTTTAATGACAATACAGTTTCAGGAAGTATTTTCCATTGGCAGGAGTTCATTTTGGAGCCTGTGTGCATTTTGGAAAAGTGTTCTGGTTTGACCATGATTGAAACAAATTTGTGGATCACGTGGCACTTGGAATCGCACATTTCGAAAATGTGTGTTCATGTCACAGCATCTGTGTGTCTGTCTAGTCATGTATGACAGTATTTGTCTGTATGTGTTTTATGGATGAATAAGTTAGTAATCCTTCTTGACTGACCGTCTGTTTGATGCTCTAATCTAGCAACGCTTTGGATACATTTGTTTTTGTGTGTGTTGGCTCCTGCATCTTGGAGCACCTGACTTTATCAGTTATCTGCTTTAATGAAATCGACTAAGATTCAGATGATGATTGAAGGTGTCAAGGGGTTAGAAAAGTGAAAGTATGTGTGTCTGTATAATAGATCTCCATGGCAACAGTCAATGGGAGCGAGTCACATTGATGGAATGGCCTCTGCTGGGTAGATGGGGAAATCAAATTGAGGCAGTTACTATAGCGACACTTCATTGCAGCTGCCTCTGCATATGTTTCGGTGTGAGTGTGTGTGTATGTGTTGTTATATCTTGAAGAGTAATAGCTTATTGATGTCTAAAGTGACCTAACGTCTAGCTATTTACTCTCAAACAAAGGATCCAACCATCGTCCTCAGATAAATAAAATAAAATAAAATGTGTAGTTTCACAAAGTGACTCATATCATTTATTCTTTCTGTAGCTCTCACTTACACAACACTCTCTTTCCCCTCATTTTGACTTTTTTTAGACATCCGTGACCGCAGGAAGAAACCAGTCATGCTGTTCATTCACGGCGGCTCTTATATGGAAGGAACCGGAAACATGTTTGACGCCAGTGTTCTTGCGGCATATGGGAACGTCATTGTAGTCACCATGAACTATAGGCTGGGAGTTCTGGGTAAGTGTACTTCATTTATTTTCCCCATTAACTCTTCATGCAGATCTGAAATTGCAGGAGGCACAGAAGCTGCTCCATATAGCAGTGATCTACAATCTGAAGGCTGTTCTGACTCATCAGGTTATTTAATTTTAATTTTTTTTATTTATGCTACTTTTTTATATCATGTTTATGCACACAGCTTTGGGATTCATTTATTTTATTTCAGTTATTTTTTTTAGTGAGTCAGTTCATTTGAACTGTTCATTTGGACATTTGGACTGTTCATGTAAATCAAGTGCTTCACGTTTTGTTCATGTAGTTACTGTACATCAAGCAAAGGTTTTTGTCTGAACAAACCAATTTACGGATTCATTTGAGGAAGTTTTACTGCTTTGTTTATGTGAGAATTATGTCAATGACTAGAATTTATAAGGAAAAGAGGGAATGAGATGAGGGAATACTGATTTTAAACTCAGTATTAAGGGCATGTGCATTAACTGCCAGGCAACATTCCGACTACTCAACTCTAATGTGGGGTCACTTTTAGCAGGTCTGGTCAAAATAGTTAACTTTTAGTTAATGGTTAAATCTGGCTGAATTGAGCCATTGATTTTCTACAGAAAAAAGCACTAGCAGATCCCACAGTGCTCCAATTACAGGCTATAGGTCAATTTCTGCTTAATTGTTCTTATTATATAAAAGTTGCTTATGTGAAAGTGAATCCTGGATCAGAATAACTCCCCAGGGAAGCTACCTGCTATTGTCATTATATGCATAGTTCAGAAGTGTGCAAGTTTCTTAGGGGTAATATGAGGTCTTATGAAAGCGTTTTTAAATTAAAGTGCTAAATCCTTTCTCATTTCCTCTCTCTTTCTCTCTTTTATTATTTTACAAGTCTGAAATATTGAAGAGTGATATATTCATGCAGATTAGCTTTGGCTCTGACAGGTTTATTGGGCCACAGCAGTTAGAAATATATTTGTCCATTTCTTACTTTAACTGCGGCACTGCCCAGAGCGGGGATAAGGCGGCCTTTAGATTTGCACTTAATAAAAAAAAAAAATGACAAGGAAATAAAAAAGAAAGGCGCTTGAGATGTTCAAAGCATTACTGCTAAACTGCAGAATAGCTGGTGCCAGTTTGAATTCGTAATACTTGTAATATATAACATACACACAAATACAGCTGAAGGGCTGAGGCTGAGTCAGATGGTTCTAAGGCCCTGGGTGTGGTGCTTTAGCATTTTGACTTTCTCTGGCATATTAGCGCATTATGTACTTGGCTCTGGAGCTTAGTGCAGATAGTGAAGCTTAGAAATGTCAGCCTCTCAGCTCAGTTCTTCCTGCCATGCAAAAGAGAGTGCTTATGTTTGTTTGCGAATGCCTGTTTCTCACTACCTGTTTGTCTTCTCATAGACTCAAGACTTTCCCCTCTAGATATAATGCAAAGCACAAGTAATTTAAATTGATGCAGAGAGAGAGAGAGAGAGAGAGAGAGAGAGTGTGTGTGTATGTGTGTGTGTGTGTGTGTGTGTGTGTGTGTGTGTCTAAAATATTGATGAAAAATGTCTGTCTGGTGCAACGAGCAGTGAAGCCGCATTGGGATTAGTGGTGACCTGTTTATTTAAATAAAAATATAAATTTGCTTGTTCATGGAGCAGTGTTGCGGAGTAACTAACTAAAAGTAGAGACACTAACTGATAGCTTGTTAGTAGCTAAGCTGTTTTCAAACCAGTGTAGCTTTTTCATTAAAGGGGTCATGAACTGAGAAATCAAAATTCCCTTGATCTTTTGACATATAAGAGGTCATTGTACTATAAAAACATCCTGTAAGTTTCAGAACTCAAAACGTTCTTGTTAGTCTAAAAACAGCTTATATTGAAGCCAATCTGCCAATATGACAGGTTGCGGAATTTGCCACTTTATGACGTAAGAATGTAGTTAAACCCCGCCTTTTGTGCACTTCATTTTCTCCGCTTATTCATTTACAAACAAGGCACAATTCGACGCAGGATTTTCAGAGAGATTGAAACTAAAAGACGATGTTGTGCCGACTATATTGGATCCGACAGTAATGTCGCACCACACAACTGTTTTTATTACATGGTCACTATTGCTTTGTCTGTTATTACAGAATGTTTGATATGCATTCAGTATTTATGCGTTTTTAACCTAAATCAAAGCAGCCATCTATGATGGAAGTAGGCTGTCAAACATACACAACTTTTAGCCAATCATAGCAGTGGGCATTTACTTCCGAGTCTACAATCCGCCACACCTATTTAAACAGAGCATTCTGATGAGGGGTGTCAAAACAGAACAGAAAATAGCCTGTTACTTCTAAATTATGTTTTAAATGTAAAAAATCTTGATAACATTATAAGTGAACCATAGAGAACAGTACAAAATAAAAACAAAGGCAGTTCATGACCCCTTTAAAACTATTTGTGACCTTGCTACATTGCATATCTACATAAAAAATTTTATCATCACATTGTTTGCACATGAATCTTTTTTATGTGCTCTCTTAAATGGTTCTTTCTCGCATACAATTTGAACTGCACATTTAAGTTTAGCAAACTGATTAATTGGGTTAATTTGAAACAAGTGGTTCACTTTTTGTGAACCAGCTTGTTTAAATTGGGGGGTTATTTTTTATGGTAACATTTTATGTTAACAAACAGTATCACTAAAATAAATCTCTGTTTTATTTGAGGCTCTGTACTGAAGTTCTTATGAGATTTCTTTTTTAAACTATATTTAGGTAAACCATGTTCTTCATCACTGTTAAACTGGTATAGAATTTGGTGTGTTTTCTAGTTTTAATGGTTGTATTTAATACAAAATTATCTTTTAATTTTGGTTTAATGCTGTCACCCAGCATTGAGATCACTGTTGTTATACTGTTGTCAGTAAGATGTATTTAAAAGAAATAAATACTTTCATATGGCAAGGCTGCATTAAATTGACAGTACAGACATTTCAAATGAATGCTGTTCTTTTAAATTCTCTATTCATCCAAAAATTCTTTAAAAAGCATCAGGGTTTCCACAGAAATTTTAAGCAGCACAACTGTTTTCAACATTGATAATAATAAGAAATGTTTCAGGAGCACCAATGCAGCATATTAGAATGGTTTCTGAAGGATCGTGTGGCACTGAAGACTGTAGTAATTCAGCTTTGCCATCACAGAAATACAGTAAATCACATTTTAGACTACTATAAATTAAAATATAAAACAGTTATTTTGAATTGTAATGATATTTTACAATATTACTGTACCATTTTACTGTATTTTTGATCAAATAAATGCAGCCTTATAGGAGACTTCTTTCAAAAACCAAAAAATCTTCGTCCCCAAACTTTAGTGAATGATAGTGTATATAAAAATATGGTTCCCCATCATAGCCTCTTTAGAAGCCTATAGTTTAGCTAAGTACTTTTTCAAAAGGCAAGCTTTACTTTAAGTCATTATCTTGAGTCGTGCCAAATCTGGACCTCAAGGACACCTGGTGCATGCAAGTCTCCACAAAGGAAGGATATGATGCAGGATTTATAGCAGCAGTGACAGGACACAATTAACATCAGCACATCTCATCATGCACTGGCAGCAGTGTTCCGTCGTTATGCCCCTCCTCCACTATCAGCTTCTATCATGAGCCTGGATGGGGGCCAGCAATATGAGCACTGAGGCGACAGTGATTCAAGGAATTGCAGATCCTCTATCATCGTGGGCCGTCATCTGAAATGAGAATGAGTGACGTGAATCAAACTATAATTTAGATAAAACCATTGGCCTGCACACAGTCTGTCACTTGTTCAGTCACAGATGCTTTGCTCATTAGAGTTATGGATTCAATTTATAGTCAAACCACATCCAACTGAAAGAATTCGATTTCATTTTTAGACTTTAGGAAGATTGCATAATTCATTCATTTAAAGGTTGTATAGTTCCACAGGTCATTTGAAGGTTGTGTTGGTCGTTTGAAGATTATATAAGCCACTGGAAGGTATTTTTAATACTCCATAGCTGCCAGAGATATTATTTTATAGACATTGTGTTGTGCTTACTGTCCAAGGTCATGTATACCCTATAGTCATTCGACTGGCTTTGCCAAGTGTCTGAAGGGCAAACTGGGACTCAAAAGCAGCTACTGACCCGTCACAACCATTGAATCAATACATTTTCACTGTGTTCTGATAAATCTTAAATAGCCATATTCGCATTGAAAAATCACCATTTTTAAATTACAGTCAATAAAAAAAAACATTGTTTATATAAAGTAATCAGTAACACTTTACAAAAAGGTTGAATTTGTTAACATTAGGTAATGCATAGGAAAATTTATTAAATTGGTTAATGTTAATTTTACACATACATTTTTAACATTTCAAAATAAATTAACATTAGGTTGATATATTATAAATGTACTTACTGTAAATAAATGTACTTACTGTAAACTAATGTTCTTTATTAAATGTAAAAAAAATTACATTTATTAAGAATTTTACATTTATTAAATGTAGAAAAAAAGTTTTTCATTGTTAGTTTGTGATTCTTAATGCATTACCTAGTGGTCATCTATTGAACCTTATTATAAAGTGTTACAAAGTGAAACCTCAATTAGATCAGGCAGTCTCATTGTTCAATCCTGGATGAACGTTATTTCTGTAAAAACATTTTTGAAGTATGTAACAATTTATTGCATTTCTACGTGATTTTACTGGTGTTAAGTTTCTATGTGATTTTACTGGCATTAAGTTATGATTCTTAATGCATTAACTAGTGGTTACCAAATTGAACCTTATTATACAGTGTTAGAGAGTGTAACTTCAGTTAGATCTGGCGGTCTCTTATTTAAATCCAGATTACATTTATTTCCATTTTTATCGAGTATGAAACCTTTGATCACATTTTTTATGTGATTTTCCTGACTTTATTCATTTGCCCTGTATTGTATGATAGTGCTGGGTCAGAGTTCAACTTGTTGAGTCAGAGTCGAGTCCTAGTCTTTAACC